ATAGACAAACTTACCAAAATTGTATAAAACATTCAAATAAGGAGAAAAATTATTTATTTGCTTATATTTATGTGGTTATCTCTCATGCCACATGTGCACTGTGCACATTGTAGCATGGGAAATATATGATAAAAAAATAAAAAAAAGTGAAACATTCAAAAAAGATATTCTAAGTTGTATAATCGCTTTTGCTTTTGTTAAGCGTGTGTAATTTCAACATTGAAATCCAATCACTCGCGTACACCAGCCGAGCACACACACTCGCGCCATCGGGTTACGTCATATGGGTGTGGCAATTAATAAGATTCAATATAAATGTTAATACCACACACTTGATTTCATACGAGCTCTTGTGTGCTCTTACCTCTTCCTAGTGTATCACACACTCTGACCTCGGGGGACGAGTTACCCGTCCAAAGTTTTCACTTACGGGTTTGAACTACTAACCTCGGGCGGTGAGATAAACTCTTTTGAGGGACCTAGAGCAACACACTTTCGAGCAATTTTGTCACTTAATTGGCATTCACATTTCTCGAAAGGGCCGATATACTTTAGTTCTTTGGGGGCTGGATTATCCGTTCAAAGCATCACTCGCAGATTCAATAATTCTTTCGGAGGCTGGGTTGAGGCCTAACTTAGGAACTATGCCTCTCTTTTCGAGTAGTGAGTCTGACTCACTTACTCACTGAGCCGCGGTTCGATACCAAGGCCAAACACCATGTTCTACACTTGTTGCATTTATGTGTAGGAATGACTAAACGAAGATGACTCTACTCCACTTGCCTCAAGGAGTGGGGGACTGAGGGACTTACCGTTTTCAAGGAAGCAAAGGATGAGCCTGATGAGTTCGAGCCTAATGAGAAGAACGGTTTTAGCCACCCTCTTCACAGATGTAGATCATTGCAATAAAGGATGAGGATTTCACCCCTTACTTCATCTTGGGACATTAGGTGTACTCTTTTTCCCTTCATTAAGATTCTTTCCCATTGAGGTCTTCCTAATGAAGGTTTTTAGTGAGGCGCCTTCCCGACATGGACATGGGTGGAGATCTTCCAGTCTCGGAAAATGGCAACTGACTTGGACTACTCCCTCTTAGTTGAGTCTACTACTCAAATAAATGAGTGGGGAAGTCGTGATGGAGTTATGGGATTAGTCCTAATCAGCCCAAGCCCCGAACTTGGACCCATGAGTCCCAAGCCCACAACCTAGATCCTGCCCACCAGCCTAGCCGGAAGCCTGCCAGCCAGGCCGACCAGCCACCCAGGAAGAGTAACAATCAAACAATTAATGCGCTATTTAATTATGTATTTAATTCTGTATTAATGGTGTAATTAATTAGTCATTGTTATTCATAGCGGTTAAGATGAGAGAATTCCCTAAATAGAAGTAAAAACTTTTTGAAATTCCAAAATAGGAGTATTGATAAGTCCGTATTTAGACACGCATTTGATGCGTGTTCGGGTCGGATTTTGATGGCTTTCCTGGCTTTAAGGCGTTGCGAGTCTCAATTTTGGCTCAAGTTGTGTTTAGCAGGCGTTGGATCGAGTTTCATTGCAGTTGAAGTTGATTTGAAGAAGTTAGAGTCCGGCAATCGGCGCTTGATACGCATTCAGGAAGGATTGGAAGGCGTTCGACAAAAATTTGAGATATTTGGAGGTCACCGGGAGATTCACGACGAAATTCTGTTGAAGAAAGAGCATTTGGATCGACCTCGTGGGCATTCGGGAGCATTCGGAGCAAGAAACGAAGAAAAACGATGAAGAAAAGGTCAGGCACGACCGTGCCTAGGACAAGCACGATCGTGCCTGCATTCAGGATGACACGCGGAGCTACTGGCAGCCAGACACGATCGTGTCCGAGGCAAGCACGATCGTGTCTGCATCCGAAGCGCGCGTTTGTTCCGCAGGCACGATCCCAGGCACGATCGTGTCTGGCATCGTGTCTGGCCCCGATTTGTCCTATTTCAGTTCAAATTCTCCTGTTTTCTATAAATAAGGCCTCTATACCCATTTTTAGGGGTTACGAACTTTTTGGAGAGGTCTAGGGACGAGTTTTATCACCGTTTTTACGTTGTTTACTTCAAGAACCTGGGATTCTTTGTAAGTTCCATCTTTTTAATTAATGACAATTTATTCTATTCATCCCGATTCTTTTGATTCATCAATCATGAGGTGTGAGTAGTTTTAATTAGGGATTTGGGATTGATGAAGGGGTTGATCATGATGTATAGCTAGATTCCTTTCGGTTTAATTTCATGAATGTCGTTTAATTTGTGTTTGAATAATTTAACTGATATCTTTTGTAACCTGGAACCGCGGCTAGAATTACAATTGCTTGTAGAATAAATCAAGGGAGATCTAGTTTATTTTAGGACACATTCACACACACTTAATCGTTCACTAACAGATTAGTAGCGATTAAGGGGTCGTAAACTCGCTCGTCTTGGCAATAATTTAGGATCCTGTCGCATGAGAGATCAGCCTGGTCCCCTAAATTATTGTACTCTACGCCGCGAGAGCGGTAAGAACTTAGTAATGATTAGCTAGGCTCAATTAAATTAATTTCATGTAATTAGGCCTGATCAGCCAGAAATCTGGTTACCCCAGAATCAATCCCTATTCCCTTTGTCATTAATTAGAAAAAACCCCCTAGTTTAATTGTTCATTCGCATTAGTTTAATTTTCCAAACCAACCAATCTCGCACGACGCTTTTATTTTATTTTCTTTTTAATCGCTGAATTTAATTAATTCTTGATTCCATTTTGTCCGTCCCTGTGGAGACGATACTCGTACTTACACCACTATATTACGATCTATTTTAAGTGCGAGAAAACACACATCAAGTGTCATGTTTTGATTCCTTAAATAGGAGTAAATTTCTGCCAAGTTTGGCATTACAAAGGCTTTTTTACATGGCATTTTCTTCCAAACTTGGCAGATTACTCCTATTCAGGGAATAAAAAACATGATACTCCTACTTTGGAATTTCAAAACGTTTTTACTCCTATTTAGGACAATTTCTGTTAAGATTTGTAAATGCCTATAAAAGGCAAGTCGAATTCCAAATAAACAATATGTTATTTCTGGCTATCAAACCTCCTTCGCACTTTCCATTTTCCCGCTTGAGTGTCTTTCGTAGCTTTCCTAAATGCCTACGAGCGTCCTATTTTGGACCAACAACATGCAGAACCTGAAGTGTTCAAACGTGGAGGCGGCACCCCCAACATCGGAGTCAGGTGCTGCACTTCATATTGCTGTTGTCCATAACATTGAGGCTGAGCCGGTTACTGATCACCGTACAGCTGATGTAAGCCTCTGCCGCGGAAACAACCTCCTCGATCACGAGGGGCCTGACGCGATAAAATTGTCCCTGCTATTGCCGGCGAGCAGCTTCTGTGCTTTAAATGACTGGTGGCTGACCACTGACTACTGTTAGTCTTGGTATAGAACACACTGCTTTTGCTCCAGAAAATGAGGATGCAGGACATCGAAAGGGAAGTTGTCCGGAAATAAGGAAACTACAGAGAAATTCTTTATTTGACACAGGAGAAATAATAGCAACAAGGAAATTAGTGAAATTATTGATGTACTCAAATAATGTTCCATCAATTGATTTCCTTTTTTTACATATTGGACAACATACGTTTGAGTTCCGTACACCGGGCTAAACTAGCAAACATAAATATAGTTTGGAGCCTATCCTAAATAGCAAAGGAGTGTTTTAAATCACGGACATTGATGGAGTTTAATTCCAACTACGAGAGCTTAATTTACGAGTAGATAAAATTTAGGCAACGTAAGACAGTATTATTATTCTGGAATGGGGATCCCTTTTAGGGTTTATATAGGAAGTATTTATAAACCTTAGGTTCTAGTATTCTAAGAGGAAACTGATGCATTTAATCATGATAAGAGTCCGGTAGCGTCTCGAACGTGGTGCAATCATTGTGCCTCTAGGTCTACGTTTCTTTTGTTATTCCCCACCACTCCCAGATAGCTACGCTCAAATGATAGCCTACCACATAAGCCCTCGGATGAGTCCGACCTCGCTAGAATTCCGTCCAGGATTGAGGTCTGCTGTCCAGACCGGTCTTGTTGTGGGTTTCTTTCGCGGGTCGAATTCCTAATTAGGCCCGACAGCTATTATTATATATTAATCCCAACTAGTGGGTTGTCCCATTGATGTGATTCATTTTAATTTGTTCTTGGGCCATAACAATGATCCATGGTATCATGAGACATCAACCAAAACGTTGCGACAAAGAGTAGCAAACAACCAACAATGAATTGTGTGATTTACTTGTAGTCAATGATAATACTCTATATTTGGAATTTGACAATTAACGAAATCAACAGTGTACATAGAGGGTACCTGAATGGAACCACCAACCATACCAAAAAGACCCTTGAGAGACCAAGAATGATTCGAATTGAGTGCGATAGGTGAGGTCTCGAGTTTGATAGTGACAATCTGCGAGACAATAGTAGTGATATGGAAAACAGACTTAGCAAGGGATGCCATTGGAGAACCAAACGCTGGCTGGTCATTCAACCGAACTACGCCTGGAGATCCGAAAAAGGTCGAGCCAAAGAATTAGCAAGTCAATTTTCGAAAGTTTTGAGAATTAGCATTTAAGCTTCTAGTTTTCTCACATATATTACCTTGAATAAAATTGACTGAAACAGAACCAAACCAGGCTCATTCCTACTTCAGGCTCTCAAAGGTTGTTGATCTTTTACATCAGAATGGAAAATCAATTATAACTAAGGGAACTAATTAATAAGAGGATCTCAAACAAATATTGGCACAAAGAAACCATAAAATCTTTTAAAATGGAAATACAAGGTATTGTTGAATGTCTCATGAATTAAAGCAGCAATGTCATAACACAAATAACTATGGGAACCATCACTCTTGGAGAGCTAATAGTTATTAAAGGCTCAACATAACTAGCATCTCGACATAGAGAACATAAGACAAGAAGCATCAAAAGTCACCCTCTCGGACGATGGCAGTGACTCGTAAGACCACGTCGTCCTTTCCCTCCTCTCGGGGCAAAAACTCACAGATCAACCTAGCATTTTTCTCCACAAGATTCCATCGGCATAAATGCATCCAACCCCCACTCATCCAAGTTCGCCCATCTGCCCAAACCTTAGCCTTCATTTTCCATTCTTTGCCTCTCGGGTCACGCAGGATTATAGTTGGTGGTAATACAATATCCTTGATCACATCTCTTGGTATATACTGGAAACATTCAATGTTATTATCAGTACATATTATATTAAATAAATGAAACACTGACACATTGTTTCACTCATTCTTGAGATGTTGTAAACTCACCAAGTCATTGCGCCTTTTTGATCTGATTCTTGCCACGAAGTAAGGGTTTGTTGGTTGAGTAAAACGTCCTGACTTGAAAATATCAATTCCATAATGGTCAGGGACATCCTTAATTTCCTTGTGGGATATCCTCTCCTCAGCACCAACATCTCTCTTCTGTCGTCTTCCTATAAACAATGTTTTGGTGAAAATCCCCGGTACAAATAAAACTACAGAAAAAGGTCGAGCAGATTAAAAATACAAATACAAGAAGCTCATATGTGTAGTATCTCTTAGACTTACTCTTTGAACGTGGGACTTGCTCTTCCTCTTCCTCATCACCTTCATCTACATCGCCATTGCCACCACTATAATCATTATCATGATCAAAACCATCATAATCACCATCACCAGCCTCATCACCAGCCTCATCATTAACACCATCACTAGCAACATCATTCCCCTTTGTATATGTTTCTTCTGTATGGTATTCTTTCTTGATGTCAATTTTTTCCAACTTTTTCAGGACAGCGATCTTCACATTTGACTCATTGTCAAATAACAAAAAGTCAAACACACTATGACCATCAAACTCAAAAACCAAGTGATAGCCAGATTTCAAACAGTGCTCCTTCACAAATGTTTCCCAACCATTGTGGAAGAAAACACGATCTTCAGTTTGTGTTATCCCCACGGTCCAAATTTTCATAGCAGAATTCCTAAGTAATACCTTTTTTGGCAATGTTTTCCGCAAGGAGTCCCTATGCGCATGGTCCATGTATGATATGGGTATTTCCTTTTCACCAAAAAAGGTCAACTAATTAGGAATGCGAGAAACTGATATAATCAATAAAATACACATTTAAGGGAATTACGTTCTTTATTAAGCAATTATAGATTAATATATTTCATTAAAAGTATAGAAGAAAATGTCTAAAACTAATTTGGTGCCTTAATATTTCCGCCATGATTGTGGTTATACCATTCTCAACTTTCAATTTAACATATACAATGTGTGGAACCATAGATGTATTTTGAACAAAGAGGACAACTCGGAATATACATTTTTGTAAACAACGATCTAAATTCTCATGAATCATGAAGCCACATGTGTTCATATGTGTCTATAAAAAACTCATATGTGACTACTTATTTTTTCTATGAAATCTATCAGAAACCACTATGAAATCTTAAACATAATATGCAAAATCAGGCATGTTAGTTACATTCATTGCCTTAAGCCATAGTGGTAGACTAATAGCGAAATAAGACAGAGTTTTAATTAAATAAAAAAAGTAAGGCTGACCTCAGGTAAAATCATCAATAGTTATATATCAAATGTCTCACAAAAGGTTTTATTTTTAATTAAATTTGAAAACTATCAACCTCAATGCTTATCTTAGAAATATTAGTCATGAAATCATTATTCAACTCCTTAATGTCAATGTGAAACCACAATAAAAGATCTAATACTATGTGCTGATTTGGTTATTCGAAGGGAGTATCCTCACATATAGTCACATAGTTGAAAAAACTTTGGGAATTTCCTAATTGGGGGGGGGGTATAATAAATTTGTTAAACAAAGAGAAATGTACTAAACTACGATTAAACATCAATTTGTTAAAGAGAAAAGGGGCAAATACGCCCTCGAACTATTTGCAATTTTGCAATCAGACCCATGAACCGGAAGATTCACATATACATCCCTCAACTCCTTGAAAATTAAAGAATTTAGGCCCTTTTTACTTGGTGGTGCCGGTAATTTCTCATCTCCTTACTTGCACCACCATGTAAAAAAGGATCTTATTGCTTAATTTTCAATGAGTCGAGGGATGTATTTCCAAGTCTTCCGGCTCAGGATCCTGATTGGAGAATCGCAAATAGTTTGAGGGCCTATTTGCCTCTTTTCTCTTTGTTATATATAGAGTAATTTACCCGATTATGACTAAAACATAGTGAATTTCATCAGTTTGTTTCGTGAAGTATTTGACCTACACTAGAATAGTATAAAACATTAAAACACTATACAAGATGGAACCACAAGCCTCGATATTGTGAAATCCAGATAACTTTATCAAACTATGACTAGAAATAGTTAGTTTCATCTAGCTAACGAAGTACTAGATAATTTTCAGCGAGTTCTATTTTGGAAAAAAGTGATGTATGGAACAACTACAATTAGGCATAAACATCATTAGATTCTTCACACAAATAAGAGGAGAAAAGGAATGAAATTTCAGAAAGTAATACATCAATTGTATCTGCTAAAACAAACCATTTTTTGTGAATACTTCTGTGTACAAAAACATCTGTGAAAGCAACACTTTTTGTTCTGAATGCTTTCCATCTTCTGTAATCAACTCTAATTTTTTGGTGTGTTTTTGAAATTACGAATGGACTTGAATGGGGATACATACATAGATGGCATTAAATAATTTTGGTAACTAGTGGACACGTGTGATACATGCAGCTCCTGATGACACTTATCCGACTCATCAACTACTAAAGTGATAAGTACGGTGTGAACGCTCTGACTTTTGATAATAAAAAACGGAGAAAGCAGTAATGAATGGAGTAAAATGCATAAATGGTCCTTGAACTATCATCACCATATCGTTTAGATCCTCGAACTATTAAATCTATCATTTTAGTCCTTAATCTATTTCATCTATATCAATCGAGCCCTTCCGTTAAATTTTTCGTTAACTTTGACGGAAGCTAATTAATTTATCAACATCTCATAATTTTAAACATATTGGAAGTAATTTTAAACATATGCGAATAATTTTAAAAACATTTGCAATTATCATCAAATGTACGTAAAATACGCAAATTAAAATGGGTGATAGTAACTCAAAGGTCGAAAACTATGGTTAAACTACAATTATCATCAAGTGTACGTAAGGTTATTTAATTAAACAAAAAGAGTTAAGTTGTTTAGATAGGTTGGACTTGGGAACAAAAACTATAGTTTTACATTTTTTTGGTATATTTACTGAGCAAGCTCATAAGCTTAACATGCTTATTCAGTGATTAAAGGTGCGTGTAAATATATTGAGTGTCTAATCTGAACTAATCTAGTGACTATAAATCTATGATCTAATTTCATCTGGTCTTTTTAAATCTCAAAACGGAAACATCCTTAAAAGTTACAATAGGTGATTTATTTAATTAACAACAATGAGTTGGGTGAAAGTCATACTCCGTAGTTAACATTAATAAAAAACACCAGTACCTGATTCAGATTTGCTGATACCTAGGGTTGGACTGGGACGGGTTGGCTAGACCCGGGCCCGGCTCGGTCCTGACATTGTTTAGGCCTGACACGGTCCTCTTTAAGAAATTCTTAAAATTTAAGTAGCTAATTTTGGTTTTTTAAACACACACACACACACACACACACAAATTATAAATAAATAATTAAACAAGAGTACTCTTCCGGTCAGGTATACCTGACCGGAGCCCCGTCCGGCCTCCAACATTTGGGGGCCTTCCCGGTGGTATTTTTTGCTCATATTTTTTGTGTAGGTTTCTCATCAAGTCTAGTTCATCCATACCAAATTTCCGGACCAGTTAACTTGAAAAAATCATTTGACGACCTTCCCGGTTGAATTTTTTGCTGAAATTTGGAATGGATGAACTAGACTTGACGAGGAACCTACACAAAAAATTGGAGCAAAAAATACCACCGGGAAGGCCCCCAAAAGGAGGAGGCCGGACGGCCCTCCTGTCCGGAAATTCCGGACAGGAATATTAGTGTATATATATATATATATATATATATATATATATATATATATATATATATATATATATATATATATATATATATATATATGATATATATATATATATATATGATAAGATTGGTATGTGTAATGCACCATATTTTTAGAAAGCGTTATTGATCTCACAAATATGAATTCATGCAATCCATTATGGACATAGATATTAATAATAATGGTATACATTATTGAAAAATCATTTGGTATGTTATGTTTGCTCATGTTTTTATGGAATTATCCGTGTATAAAGTATAATTGTGTTCTATCCCTCCAGCTTAAGGTCATATTTTGAATGCCTTCTAGGGCCAGCAATACCACTGTCAACAGTCAGCCCAAGATTGCATGATAAAGTTCATCAAATGGTGGGCCCAAACTTTTTGAAAAACAAAGTGATTAGAAATAAAAGGGAAAAGGTGCAAATAAGCCCTCGAACTAACCGAAAAAGTGCAAATAAGCCTTTTTATAGGAAGCTCTGTCCGGTCGTCGCCATTTGGGGCGGTTCCAGGTAGAGTTTTTTTATGAATTTTTTTGAGCATCTTCTTCACCAAGTATAGTTTACCCATACCAAATTTTAGCTAAAAATTTAACCGGGAAGGCAACCAAATGATTTTCTGAATTATAATGCACTGTTTAACTGCTCAGTTATCTTCAAACATTTATTTGATTGCCTTTCCAGTTGAACTTTTAGCTGAAATTTGGTATGGGTAAACTAGACTTAATGAAGAAGATGCTAAAAAAAATTCATCAAAATATTCCACTGGGAACCGCCTCAAATGGCGACGGCCGGACAAATCATCCTATAAAAGGGCTTATTCGCACTTTTTCGGTAAGTTCGAGGGCTTATTTGCCCCTTTTCCCCGAAATAAAATAAAGAAGACACAAGCTTTTGCAATTTATTTGGCTTCAAATATTACAAATCAATTAGGATTATTATTTGTTGTTTTGCCTATTAGCATATTAAGAATCTTCCTAATTAGCAATTGGTTTTCATATTTAGCAAGTTCTTAATTATCAGTTGTTTTCTCTTACAATTAGGACTCACGCCATATGCAACTAGTAATCAAGGACCTACTTAGAGGAGGACACCATTAGTTATATACTTATTAGGCCCATTAAGGAAAATTCATTATTTAATAATTATGTTTGGTCAGCCTTGTCTTTTTTGGGATGCCTAGAAAAGACCAATAAACTAATTCAGATTTGAAAAACTCTCTTCTATTGAATAAATATATTAAGAGAATATTAATTATTCCGTAAAAATCTCTATTAAGTGCAAGTGTGGTATGCATAAGCCTCTATTATCTAGCTTTTGCACTATTATAAAATTCTTTAAAAGTTTCTAGTTGTAAATAAATGTCTCTTTTGAGAAACTACACTGAGTATCACCTGAGAAAAGTCTATAACTTTTAGTATTAATTATTGGCTATCAACCTCAATTCTTATCTTAGAAATATTCACACACAAAATCAATATTAAACTCCTTAATGTCAATATAGAACCAAAATTAAAGATCTAATACTCTGTGTTTTTTCTTATTCGAAGGAAGTCTCCTCACATATAGTGACATAGTTGAAAAGCCTTTACGAATTTCCTAATAAGGGAAGTATACTCAATTTTTTAAACAAAGAAAAATGTATTGAACTACGATTAAACATTAATTTGTTGAATATAGGAATATTTACCCGATTATGATTAAAATATAGTGAGTTTAAACAATCTATTTTGTGAAGTATTTGTCCTACACTAGAATTGTACTACCTCCGTCCCCTAAGTTTGGGACAAAGAGGAGTGGTGTGGTTTTTGAGAAAAAATAGAATTGTGTGGTTGATAAAGTGTGAATAAAGTAAGAACAAATTGTAATCATCCAAATATTACCAAATA